GTTTTCGTGGTATAGGCGGCCCTGTTCTCGGCATGTTGGCGAAGAGAACGAAGCGGCCTCCCAAGAGTTGTGACTCGGATCGAGTTGGCCATTGGCCCAATTGAGGCCAAAGCAGCCTGGGAAGTTTTAAAGGAGCTCATATTGATGCTATATTATAATGGATAAACAGAAAGTATGACATATGTACAGAGAAGGGATGTTACGATACTTAAGGTTGCCCGCGTTAGGGTTCCCGGGGTCCACCCAATCCGGGAGGTGGCAAGCGCTGCGACCGTCCGATTCTTCGCCGACCGGTCCACGTGCTGTCAGGTACATAAAGAGCAGTCGGCGATCAAACTTGTCCCACCTTTCTTGGATAATCTTATCCATCGCTCCTCGGTGTTACTCCAATTCACCACCGAAGGTCACTCTTTTATAAAGTGATCTAGCCTTTTCTCCTTTGATTTTCTCTAAAAACTAATTATCACTTTTCATCGCTCCCCATTCATCTTCTAGACATGTTCCGCACTCGAGTAGCGTCGGCAGCTTGCGCTGCTGCTCAAAAAGTTCCAGCTGCACGGAACTTCGCAACAGCTTCACCAGTGAGCTCTGTTTCTCAAAACCACAAGGTTGTGGTAGTTGGTGGTGGTGCTGCTGGTCTGTCCATCAGCCATCAGCTTCTTCAATCTGGCAAATTTACTCAAGATGATATTGCTGTTGTCGACCCGGCAGCGTGGCATCATTATCAGCCCGGATGGACTTTGGTTGGCGGTGGTCTTAAAACCAAGGAGGAGCTGCGCAGACCAATGAACAGTCTGATTGATCCTAAGCTCAAATTCTACAACGACGGCGTGTCCACGTTTTCCCCTGAGGAGAACCTTGTCACTCTCAGCAATGGCGACAAGGTCAACTATGAACAGCTGGTTGTGGTGCCCGGCATTAACATTAACTATGGCAGCATCGAGGGTCTCCCCGAGGCTCTGGAGTCCCCAGACTCTCTCGTCTCTACTATCTATGGCTATGATACTTGCGATAAAGTCTTCCGCACCGTCCAAAAACTACAGAAAGGTGTTGCTCTTTTCACACAACCTGCTGGCGTGGTGAAATGTGCAGGCGCGCCGCAAAAGGTCATGTGGCTTGCATTGGACCATTGGAAGAGAGCCGGCCTGTACGACCCTAGCAATCCTTCTAGTTCCGCTATCAATATCAGCTTTGCTACTGCTCTCCCGGCCATGTTTGGTGTGCCTAAGTACAGTGCTACACTCGAGGCTCTGCGGAAGGAGAGGGGTGTCGAGGGACTCTTCCAGCATGACCTCGTCGCTATCGAAGGCAACACAGCCACTTTTGCTCGTCTCGATGGACAGGAGAAGGTCAAGAAGCAGTTCGATCTGTTGCACGTTGTACCCAAAATGGGGCCCCATGCATTTGTTAAGAACAGCCCTCTGGCGAACGAGGCTGGCTTTGTTGATGTCGATGAGGGCACCATGCGTCACAAGAAATTCTCTAACGTCTGGGGTGCTGGTGATGGCGCCAGTCTTCCCACAGCCAAGACGGCGGCGGCAATTACTTCCCAAGCGCCCATCCTTGTTCGTGGTTTGCTTTCCACGATGGAGGGCAAGGAGCCCCAGGAAGCCTATGACGGTTATACGTCATGCCCTCTGTTGACTGAGTACGGCAAGGTCCTTTTGGCTGAATTCAAGTACGGCGGACAGCCCAAGGAGACGTTTGCGAAGTTCGGTCTCGACCAAGCCACTCCACGCCGTGCATTTTATCATCTGAAGAAAGACTTCTTCCCTTGGGTGTATTACCAGCCATGGTCAAGGGCAAATGGGGCGGTCCCAAGGGTTGGCTTAAATAGAAGAGCCTGGAGCTCGTGTGTACTATACTTCTTGTCTTGAGATAACCAAATAATGCAAGCTTCAAAATTAGCGACGATTACGATTTACAACGCATGTATATTGTATCCTACGAAATGGTACATTACTCCTGTAGTCTTCAACAATGAACCCCTTTTTTGTTTACTTTTTTCCTCCCCCCTTTGATGTTTGATTTTTCTGTCAACTTCAAATCACGTCATTTGGTAGCCGAGATCGGACCTGTTCCTCGGCGGGTCCACTACGGCCGAGAACCATGAACGGCTTCCCGAACCACATTAAAGTCGCTTCGTTTTCTCCCCCGAACCCTCACATTCCCCGCGCACTTTTGCGGGGAACGGAGAGTGATAGCTTAAGAGACCTACATACTGTTTATTTCTTTAAGATATCTTTTTTCGTACACCCTAGCATTTATTCTGTGATTTTAGCTGACAGTAATTCGACCATACTTTCGCCTCGGGCGACAAATGATCTTATCGTCCGAGAGAAAGTTCCTATTCAATCGGCCGAAAGGGATCATTCACAATGACATCCTATTATGTCATTGTCACCTTCACATGGATGCTCATGAACAACGCCATCATCAATCGCCGATTGAAACGAGGCCTAGGATATGCCATAATGGCTCGGGATATATAGGGGATGTGAAGTGGATGTGGTCTAGAATGCGGTTGTATGTGTTTAGACTGCCCGAGCTGCGTGAGGTTGTTGTACCGCCTGTTCAGTTAATTAAGTTTAAATTCTTTAGGTTCTAAGTAAATTAATCATGTAGGGCTAATACTAGTCAACAGGCTAATAACCACTTCCAGACTGTGGTGGGTAGACTTCGAGGGGACTAAGGCTGTAGGGCTGACCAAGGTTGGATTAGTATAAGAACTTAATAACGGCATTTATACATCTATATGGGGTTTATTGAGGTCACTCTATTACAATTACTTAGATCAGTATTGAAATAGTATAATCTAGCTCCAACTGGAAGTATAGGCTGTCTTCCTGTCTAGTGTATAGTTTTGGGTATGGGGACCACATACACCCTTCACGTGTGTTCAAGTGTAATATCACAATTTCCACCTTCACAAGGAGTCCTTGGCCGACTGCATCCTACGTACATTATATAATGGTCTCCAGTGAAGCTATGTAACCAATTTTTCCACTGTTCATCTGCTATTTTTGATAGCAAAGCATCATTATTTACTGTCTCAAACCATGCTACTACTGACGTCACCCGCTGGAAGGCCATAGTTGAGGAGAGAGTTAGTGAGAAGACACTGTATTTGCCCTACTTACCATGCTCATGGCAACGTACTTTGTATATTCAGACTATGACATATTTCTTCTAAGTCATCAGCAGATTTGTCATAAATGACAATGTTCTCGATACAAGAAACACATGATACAAAATCAGCTGTCTTTAAACAACACCATCGCCATACATTGCCATAACATCAGGATTGTCAATAACAGAAATCCGGGCACAGTGGCCAAGGTCCCGGGTTCATCTAATCACGTAAATTATGGCCTTCCAAAGCTTGTGATACTGTAGGATAAACTTTACCAAGCTTCTGAAGAGCATTTAACAACGCCTCATTATCAACTTTCCGAAAAGCAGACTGCCTACACAGTTGTCTGGAATCCGCTCTTGCTGAGACTACCTTCCGGGATTTATTTTCCGCGAACCCATCCACCCTCCTTCCGTTTTGTTCCACAGTCATTCGACACCTGACATCGAACTTCCATTCTTCAACTTCCTCTCCCTCTTCCCTGAAGCGGCGACTGCTTCTCAGAATTTCATGGGAGCCCCAAAATGTCCATCTTCCTCGTCCAAACGCTTTATCTGCCATCAATATAATCTCACTGTGAATGGACACCGACTCCCCAGGCACTACATTATCGTAGCGGAAGCTCTCCCAGAAATGCTCTAGGCTGGCAAATTCTTTCTTGATATCGTTGTTGTATTCTGTCTTCCTTGAGCTGCTCAATCTACATCGAGCTAATATGCATCGCATCCTATAGATTTTGGTGCGTCAGTAATATCATTTCTTCAGAATGTCCTACGCTGTTTAATAACCAAGGGTCTCCCTGTTTTGTTTGAGCCACTAGGAAGGATGATGCAAGGCGTTGTTGTTTTCACAATAAGAAATGTTGGAATGAATACTCACTTCTTCATGAGGAACTCGGGCTTTTCCATGGTTTCATTAAAGGTAGCAACAGTAGAGTATGCTGCCTGAAGTCTGATCTAGTGGGACGGCCGGGAGGCTTTATATAAAAGGATATACAAAGAAGTTAAGGGCCTTTGGACTTCAGACTCATAAGGACAGTGTCTCAGATGTCCTGAAGTGAAACAATAAGAAGCACAGCTGCTTTATTATCGTGGTATAGTGCCTTAATACTTCCATGCTAAACACGGTGCAGCATACCGACATATCAAGAATCGCTTATGGGTCTCGATATCTATGGTCTCAATGAATAACTGAGATTCACTGGTTTCAGGCCAACGTTGGTATTATTAGTGATTCTTTCGGGCGGCTTTATACCTATTCTATATAGGATGCAAAGACATATCATCACTATTGGTTCGCTCAAGCATGATTCATAAAATTCTACATTATCTTATGCTACTAGTGCTTACTTGCGGTAATACGCATAGTAATCACCTATACTATTCTACAGTAGTGAAATATGTATAGTTCTTTCTTAGGAAAAATAACGTACAATAGAATATTGATCGTTCGGAGCATAATTGTCTATGTAGCATAGATTAAATAGAGCACTCCGATGTCCCGGGTGGGTCGGGTGGAGAAAGAGCAACACCGTGCACTGCACAAGGCAGTTTAACTAAACGAGTAGCAACCACGACTCAATGTTTCGATGTATTCTCGTATAATTATTTCCTTCTGTTCATATGTATTATCGCTCCTTCTGCAGGGTGGTTTGAGGCCAAAATGCCAAGCTTCAAAGGTGCAAGTGGCTATCGGTTCCGATGTTCATCGTCGCTCCGCTGTGACATTACATTTTGTTGCGGATCCGATGCCATCCCCTCGAAACTATTTATCCCCTCTCGTCGCCCCTTCGAGTCACCCAGCTTCTCATATTTCTACACACCCAGCAATCACAAATCATATCTTCCTTTTCTTTAAAGATATCAAAATGCCCAACACCCCTACTATCATAATCGTGCCTGGCTCGTGGCATTGCCCAAAACATTACAAGTACCTCATCGATGGACTGGCAAAGTTCAACTACGAAGCTGTCGGTGTCACATTACCGTCTGTTAATTCAAGCCCTCCTCATGCCAGTTGGGATCAAGATGCCCAAGCTGTCCGTGAGGTTATCATGAAGAGCCTTGATAGTGGCAATGATGTCATTGTGATCGCTCACTCGTTTGGTGGCGTTGCCATGTCCGAGGCCGTGAAAGGGTTGGGCAAGAAAGCGCGCGAGGAACAAGGGTTAAAGGGCGGCGTTGTGCGACTGATCTACATGTGTGCCATGGCGTTGCCTGAGGGCCAGACTCATGTCGGTCAGATCCAGCCCCAGACACCCGAGGAGGAGGAGCTGGAGCGGCAACGCCAGGAGTTACAGGCAAAATACGGAGGCATGCGTTTCACAGAGGTATGATGGATGGTTTGCTTCACTTGCTTTGAATGGATCTGCTGATCACTGGTGTTATCTTGTTAGGATGGAGCTATGCTTCTAGACAAGGAGGTCATTCGAGATGTCTTTTATAATCGCTGCGATCCCAAGGATGTGGATGAGGCAGTGGATCTCCTGGGCTCATTCCCAACGGGCCCTCTAACTGTGCCTGTGACTTACACGGCCTACCGTGAGATTCCAAGTACGTACATCGTCTGCGAGAATGACAAGCGCTGCCGGTGTCGTATCAAGAGAGAATGATTGCACAGGGCGATGGTGTTTTCCACGTGGAAAGATGTCAAGAGGGACACTCGCCGTTTTTAAGCAATCCGACTTTTATCGTGGACTGTATTCGTCGGGCCGCTGGAGAGAAGTTATGAACGGTTCTTGTATAGAAACTTTCCGCCTTTTCTTTCTGAAATAGGACTAGCTCAGGGCCGCCTTTTACTCAGTAATCGATTCTAGATTATAGAAGTGCATCCACACGGACCGTAGAAGACTGTTATGTTAAAGACAACAGAGCGACAGGGTTAAAGGCGGGTGACGGTTTGGGTAATAAATATTGTAGTGGTTGGTACATTGCGTTGCAATATATCTGTTGGCCTAGTGGGTGGACTAGCTGGATTTTCAAGTGAGTATCAAACTGGACAGACTTTCGTACCACTCACCTCCTAGACTTTCTGAGAAATTTACAAGACTATGGAGATCGATTGGTTTATAGTATATTGATGTAAAGACGGTGATAGGGGAATGTCACCTGACTGGATCGGCCAGATGCCCGATTTGTTCCGAAGGAAATTATATCTAAACTTTCTTTTATACAACATCCCGCTACTTCAATATCACCATCCACCCTCCCTTAGCAATAGATAAGCAGACAAATATTACCAAGTCTATATCATCGACGCAGATGACCCCTTCCATGGCACCCTCGCGGCGCCAGTATTCAAGTTGCGACGCATGCCGACGATCGAAACGACGTTGCTGCTTGCTACCTGGCAAAGATGGAGAGCTTCATTCAGTTTGCACTAACTGCAAACGCACAGGGTCAGCTTGTACTTTTGAGTTTGCCATATCTCACTCACGCGTGGCAAGGCGAAGGAGTCGAAGGCGACATGCAACAACAACTAATTTGTCTGGAGACTGCGACGGGTCAACTAGCACCTTGGAAAATGCGGTTGATGCATCCCATGAAAGTGAATTACAAGTGTCCCCTGTAGCAAACCAGGATATTTTGACGTCTTGGCTTACCATTGACCTTGATCATGCTGTGGATAACAATCCCACACCTTTTCTATACAGCACGGATTTCCCCAACGTACTTACGGATACCGCAAGGCCAGCACGACATCATGATGAGATTGTCACCTCTCTTGTTACACATCACTCGGACACAATACAACGTCCTTTTCCGCTTAATCCTCAGCTTAGTATTGGAAGCTCGCCTAGCAGTCCTGTCTATCTTCTTAATTCTAAATTGAACGCAACAATTCTTGATGGGTGTCTGGCCCGTATCCATGATACCATCGTTACAGGTTGTGCGTCCAGGTTCATAGGCTATGAATGCAATCTATACAAACCTGCATGTCACTATCAATTAGGAGATGGCGATGGTGGAAGCCTGCAGGATCAAAAGCCTCTGCAGGCAGACCCTGTCTCAAAAGAAGATCTAACCAAGACCCTCACTTCCATGTCTCAATCGGACGTGCCTCTGATCACTCCCGGTCCCTCACCTCGACAACTAGGAACTACAACGCAGAGTACTAGCCACAAGATGACAATAATGGGAGCCGTTCGGTTCCTTGATCATTTCAGCGATCTCTATGGCAACAGACTTACTGTTCCTGCTCGCAGAAAGTCAGACGCTGTTTTGAAAGCGGTACTCAGAACATTCTCACTTCAGTGGCTATCTCCTAACGACTCTTCCATCGGGGCTCAATTGACAACCAACTATAACAATACGGTTGGCAGAGACGTGCCACGCGATTTACCGATCGACGCTTTTTATGATAGTTGGTTTCAGGCGCGATCACTTATTAATAGTGCACTTTCTGTTCGATCCTTCAGAGTTATATATGCCATGTTAATGTTCGATGGTATCTCTATTCCAGCGAAGGCGAGCGGTGAGACACCCGTAGCTCATGAATTTCTTGAAGCGGGGTTGCAGAAGCTGAATTGCTTGACTGGGCTTGTTGAGCACTACTACATGAACCTGGGACAACAGTCTACATATGGCGCTATTATGGAGGCTAGTCTGAGCGTCGTCCGATGGTGTGCTCACGTCCGTGATATAGGCGCAGCACTCACAGCAAATCACATATGCAAGCTTTCCGATGCTTCAAGTAATGACAAAGGTAATTTGGCAGTATCTTGAACCCTAAAGATTGCTAAGTATCTCCTAGGTCAAGAGACTTCTTTCAGATATGAACCAATATCGCCTTGTGCATTTCATCAGAGCTTCAATCAAGACTTCGATAACAGTGTTCCGGATATATGTCGTACAGCAGTTGCGGAGGCTTTCCGTGTCTGGAAACGAATAGTTGCAATAAAAGGCTCGCTTTGTAGCCCGGCCAAAAATGACATTGAACTATGTCCAAATCTGTCTGTGGACATTACCTCAACGATCACGGCAGTTGGTAAATTCAGGGAAGTGTTTGGCTCTTTCCTGGGCTTCTGTATAGGAAATCTTGAACATCTTTCTATGCGCTCAAGATTGTCTTCTGGTGTGTCACGCATATGATCATGATTTTCTTTCATATGTTCAATTTAACCGCTATTCTAACAGTATCAAACAGTCTCTATTTTGATGTTCTGGAACCTTGGGGTGTTTGTTCTCACGGAGAGTCTGAACCTTCCTATGATGGGAATAAACCCACCTTGCAGTCACAGTGTCTTTTCGAAACTACAATCATACAACGAGGAGGCGGCTTTATCAGTGACACAGATAGTAGAGTGCGTGCTCTCACTGCCTTTTGAGGAGATATTCAACCTCCAGAACGGCGTTAGTGGCGAGGCTTCGGTACTCTCGTACCATATCACCCCTACCCTAGTAGCGGCTACCTTTCAAAAAGCTATTGAGAACATACTCAATGTGAAGTTATATCCGCCTTACGGTGTGGGCGCACTGGATGACAGGTCCCTAAACCACCATGCTGACTCCACCTGGAAACAACATATCGACACCATACTGAAAGGTCTTGTCTCACTTGATGCTACGATTGGTGGATCACAGGCCTCAGGTGTGGCAATACGAAGTCTAATGCAAAGTTATGGGGATATTATATCAGAGTGTTGGTCTTCTGATTTCGAGACTTAATCGCTGTTTAAACTTAACAACAGACTATAGCAGATTAGTCATGACTTAACCAAAACAGTTGATGCTCTCAAGAGTGCCTTCATTAAGGCTCAATTCGCCGAGTAATTATTATCACATCGTCTAGTTAACTGCATTCAACCCAACGGTCTTTGTGGTCGAAATTCAAAGGGCAGCAAATGTTCCTTATCGTTTTCAGTCATCCTTTCTACACCGAAACGACTAGTTTGTCTACTATCACAATGTTTTTCTGATAGAGGAAGTCGGTTCTGCAGTTCTTTAAACCAAGCAACAAAGGGCTAACAGGAAAGCAACTCGATGAGGCTGTGCTAGGTTGAGGAAACACTCAATGCACGCCACTTTGCGTCTGATGCTGCGAGAGCCTCTGCCGCCTTTTCGGCATGTTCCACCGCATCAGGGCCGATCAAAAGTCGCAAAGGAGGCTCCTCTTCCTTCGACAACCTAAGAACGATGTTTGCAACCTTGCTTGGTATGGATGGTTCATTCCCTAAGTTCTTCCGGTGCAGGTCGGCCACGTAGCCCACGGTACTCTCGTATGGCTTGCTCACTGGGGGAGTTTGCATTGATGAGCCAGCCCAGTCAGTCCTCATGCCGCCAGGCTCCAATACGGTGACATTGATGCCGAACGGTGCAACTTCTCGCGCGAGCACCGTCGAGAAACCTCCGACTGCCCATTTTGCACATTGATATGCCGAGAGGCCCGGCACACCGAGTCGTCCACCAACCGAGGAAATTTGAAATATGTGGCCAGACTTTTGCTGGCGAAGGATGGGTAGGACCGCCTTCGAAACGTAGACAACTCCGAAGAGATTCACATCTACTTGGGCTCGGAAGTCATCGATATCGATATCCTCGACAGCGACAGAATTGGCATACCCCGCATTATTGACAACGATGTCGATTCGGCCAAATATTTCGTGTCCAGCCTTTACGACTTCGATCACCTGGTCGTTGTCGCTGACATCTAGGGCTATGGTGAAGACCCTATTGCTGCCATATTTTCCCGTCAGGCCTGCGAGCTGCTCTGGCTTTCGGGCAGTAGCAATAACATAATCCCCAGCAGTGAGCGCAGCTTCAGCTATTGCTAGGCCGAGGCCACGAGAGCATCCAGTGATGAACCAAACTCTCGTCATTGTATGTCAGATGATAATAATGAGCTTCTGGGATACGAAGCAATTGAGGTAGTGAGGCACAAAGGAGATTCTGATAGATCAGAATACCCCGCCAATATGCAGCAGTACGAACATATTTATAGACTCTCATCTTGCCAGTGTGGCCATGGAGTACCTAGCGGGCGGCCCAGGCGGCCGCCGCATGGTAATATAAATGCGGCCGCAAGTAGGCGGAGATAAGGAGCTTAATTCCATTTGCGGCCGCACCACAGATCGGATTTTTGTTGAATGATGGAAGATGGCGACAAGTGGAACATTATTATGGCCCTTCATCCTTGTTCACCATGAAGAGAAATTAAGAAAAGGTGTGACTAAAAGCCTTCCCACCTGTCATTCATGCCTGAAGTTGGTTTTTTCCCCTTCCCGGGTCTTCTGCAGGTACATTTCTCATTATCACAGCAGGGTGGCACTGTTATTATTCAGATGATTCATATTATTACATAGATTAAATTGGGGATCTGCGAAGATGTATACAGCTGGTGGAAGCTGAGTCCTGGCTTCATTCTGTTACTATGTGCAGCGGTCATCTTCGTTTAAATCCAAATCACTCCCCAGAGCTGTTTATACAACCCTACTATTTGGGTTCGAAGACGATCGCTTTGTGCGGAACCTTGATCGAGAAACCTCCATATTTTCAAGACAGAGGATGCATGAGAGCGCAGTTTTGCCTTTCCGAAACAGTATACTTCGTGTATCAGTCGAGGCCACAACTCACCTTAGTATATCACATAGGATAGAACACTGGACAGTGACTTCATATCTTGTTCTCGCAATCTCACGGGTCATTGATATTCTCTGCAATGTCTCCAGGATCCTGTGTCGGAAGATAGGTCCGAACGGTAAGAATATGGAAAGTGGTCTATCTGATCTATCTGAGCGATACTTCGAAGCTAGTCACAATAGAATGAAGTTGGTATCATCGTGCATTTGCCTGGTAAATCTATACTTTTTACGGGACCAATGCGCATCCTGGTCTTTAATGTGGACTTGTTTATCTAGAATTGCAGCTCTTATCTAAAGGCCTCCTGGACGTCGACTTCGGAACGGCCTTTCGAGGACAGTCTGGGCCAAGTTACGATAGTAACCTGTGCGAATAATGCTTAGCAGTCTCAAGGTCTTCATAGCTGCCATACCCCCTTTATCTTAGAGATCGTACAGTATTCATTCGCCATGTTTGGAAAATTCCCTCTCAGTGCTCTTTCCATCATTGGACAATCAAAACCACTCTATCCCCCTTGAACGTACACTACCTCGGCAGCGAACGGTACAAACAACACAGCTTCAGCAGTCAATCACCAGCTGGGCTCCCCTTGACCCCCCATACCCGTTTGCTGCTGCCCACTCCTCTGTTCCATCGCATCATTAGCATGCCATGCACCCTGTGACGCCTCCTGCTGTCCTCCACTATCCCCCGTGTTAGTCCACTCGGCATCAGGAGATGTAGGCCCTCCAGAACTCCCCACAACAGCCTCATTGCCAGCCTCCCACTCACTATTATTAGGCCCAGGCTGCGACAGTTCATCCTGCCGCCCCGTGTATTGTGTATCATCCTGCTGGGCCAGACCTACACCCCACTCATTGTCTGCAGCCTGATTAGAGCACCCTTGCTGCGCCGGCTGGCCTGCACCTCCAGAGCACGTCGCATTACCATCACCCGCAGTCTGCCCTGTTTGTTGTTGCCCCTTTTGTTTCTTGCTTTTCTTCGACATCCGGGACTGATCTCTCGGTGCCCCCAGTCCAGACTCCTGCCGATTATCCTGGCGCTCATTCGGTCTACTCCTCCCCCTCTGTCCCTTCCTGGACGTCGTCGATGTCGCGCGTGGAGGAGGGGCCGGAAGTTGCGGCGCAGACTGCCGCGGCGAAGGACGCCGTGAAGGAGCACGCGAACGACCACGTACAACAGTGACTTGAATCGGGGTGGTAGCTTGGCCCTGAGGGTGGGATTGTGATTCCGATATCAGTCTCTTCCGCGATTTGGCTCGCGCAATGAATAGCTGCGCTCTTGCTTGGGACCGCCACCGGATCGAGTACAGGTATACGATCCCCGTTATCCCGAGCAGGACTAGTATTATTATGGCTATCATGATGTTGTTGTTCATTTTCTTTGAGGTCCGTTTTTTGGGTTTCTCTGTTGGGGCTGGTTTGTTGGTTTATCTGGTTGGTTGCTTTGGTGTGGAAGGGGGGGGATTCGGATTGCACTTACTTGCTATGTGATTCTCCTGGCGTCAGGGTGCTTGTTCCTCGTGAAGAGATGAGGATGGATGCTTGGTTGGGGTGAGACTGTTAAGGGTGTGGCATGCCAGACTTGGAAGCACGACTGTTGTGAAAATCACAGAGCTGGTTGTGCTCGGCGACCTTCTTCCAGTGAATGGACGTGCAAATGGTTATATTCTGCATCAGTCTCTACAAAGTAGATGAGATCACGTAGGTAAAAGGAACAAACAAGTGGTATTAAACATGTCTAACTTTTATCTATCCTAACCCTCAATACCCAATGCACTCTGTATTCTCGCAATCCAGTTATCATGCAGCAATGCTGTTTCCCCATTGCCAAGTAACCTCTGCAGCTTCTCCTTGAGAGCAGTCCGGTCTTCATAGAGGTATCCAGAAGCTGCAAACTCCTCTGACACTAGCACGGTTGCGAGGCTAATCAGTCTCACGCCCAGGGTGAACGTTTCTGGCTTTGAGGCCCAGCCGACCAGTCCGTCCTTTTCGGACTCGGTTGTCATAATATCTGCGACGTATGAGAGGCCGTCAGAGACCCATTTCGAGGTTTCTTTAACTAGACGCTCGCTGAAAGCAGCTTCTCTCAGCCCGAGAAGTCTACAGGACCAGATATCGACTTCACGGATTTCCTCGATGAACAAGTTTTGTCTCTCTTCTTCGAACAAGGTTGTGCTCTCCTTTCTCAGCTCGGCAAGCTGTGCCTCTACCGTGGCAAGCTTTGTGCGTTCGACAGAGCCGCTGAGCTTCGGCTCTTCTCCGGTGATATAGTGGATTGCTTTAGTGGACAAGAGTTGAGACTCGGGGTAGTTATCGACCATGAAGTCGGCAAGGAGCTGGCCAGCGTTCAAGGGAGACAAGGCAACTGTCTTAGAGGGGGCCACGGAGGAGTATGACAGGACCCAGGAGGCAGTTCCGGCGGCCATATCACGCAGCTCCTCGTCGTCGTCGCTCAGCATATCATATAGGATAAGGTAGATCTCCAAGTACACCTTGTCCACAAGTGGAGCTTTGCCTTTGCTCCGCAGTACGCGTGCAAATGCTGTTAGTGAGGTCACTGCGGCATCTCGAGTGGTAAATTCCTGGCGTTGGTTAGAATCTAGCTTGAGCGAGATAGGGATGGGAAACATCACTTACCGTTTCTTCTTCCATCGCGAATCGGAGCTTCGTGGCCCATCTGCGAATGTCCGTCTCGGAAATCTGACCTTGGTTGGAAATAGCCTTGGCTGCGAGAAGACATCCTTGGAGACGTATCTCGGCGTCTGATCGGTCCCTGCTCCACACTTCACCATTCGGTTTGGAGTTAATATGTTGGTCTAAATCCTCCCATGGCAAGTGCACGTCCTTGAATTTATCATGATGGAAGTCAAGTAGATCTTCCAGGATGGATGCTAGGGATGAGATAGCTGAACCCTTCACATCTTCGGAGTAGTCACCCAGGATGATTGAAGGGTACAGTTGCAGCAAGGTCTTTCGGTATTTTTCCTTTCCTCCGATTACATCCTGTATCTGCTGGAGCAGCCATACACCAGCATTGGGATCGAACGTCGAAATGGTCTTGATGAATGGCGCCAGCTCATCCAATTCACCGGTCACAAACATTTGCAGTGCTCCAACCCACGAAAGAGATCTCCGGAGCATAGAAGAAGCACGAGTTGTGCTCAATGAATTGTAATTAGGACTCGACGTATCAAAGAGGTACTCCAGGATATCTTGAAATCCGTACGAGTCGTATGTGTAGCAAATAGTCATCAACAGTTTTTCTATACCTTTGTTTAGCCACAGATGCAAGTTTTTGAGGAGGGCTCAATTTACCTTCCGTTCCTAACTCAAAGCTCTTCTCCACCGATTCGCCAAGGATCTCCAGCAAAGTGTTCGCAACGAATGGAGATTCGGCAACTGGGAACAATGTGGCAAAGATCTGTCGCAGGGCCGCAGATACTTCGTGGATATGCTCTGTGACCACGTCAGCCGATATGATTCTCTAGATGCTACGCAAGTATTACTTACCATTCCAGAACGAGATCGACGCAGATCCGAATCTGCGCAGAGCATACTTGATAGACAGTGCCTTTCCATGAAGATAGTCCTGTGACTTCGAATCCCGATCAACATCAAGCAGTGTTTGGATATCTTTCAGAATGTCAGGGCGATTCAGCAAGGATGCATAAACACGAGCCGCGTGTTCTCTGATGCCCCACACTGGACTCTTGAGCTGTTCCCGGACCAGTCCTAGAAGCATCACGTCATCTGTATCAAAAGCGTTCGGGACTTTCTCCGCAATGAGTTCCAAAGCCGGGAAGACTCGCTCAGTGACCATCGCATGGTCACCCTTTTCCGCGTTATTTCTCGCATCCGACGACGACAGAAGGTCAGAGAGCAGCTGAATAAGACCCGGATATTTCTGGAAAGAAATTCTACCGCCGGGTTCCGATCCGGAGCTACCGCCAAACCCTAGACCGCTACCCCTGCGACACATGCGCGTGAGTAAAGCTCGGAAGAGCATCAATCCAGAGTTTCTCAGGTTCCAACTGAGCAGAAATTAGCCTCTTAATGCTCATAACTTAGTCAAAATGAGCTGTATCACTCACACTGGCGACCCCAGCTGCTCAGCCGACAGATTCAAAGCGGGCATGATAAACGGCTCTGTATGAGCGCCAACCTTGTTATTGGTGAAAATTTCCTTCAGGCAGTTCAGAGCATGGACTTGAGGTAGCTCCATCTCCTGGTTATCATCATCTTGTTGTACTGGAAGGTGAGATATCTCGATGAGCTCCTTGATGACATCTTGGAAGAGCTGCCCTCCAGGGTTAGATGAAAGAATTCCAGTGGCCAGTGCAGGAAGCCCAGCGGAACGACGCGTTAGCTTTGATGCGGTCTCGAAGATAATCTTTCTAGCTTCCTATATCAACACATAAGCATTTTACTCATCTGAACTCTGCCGTCTGAAATACTTGCCTGATACCATCTATGAGGTAGGCTTGCGATCTCAGGGTCGCTCGACTGTCCACAACGCAAACAACAGGTGGCAAAGGTTTGAGACACAGTCGAGAATGCACCCCTATGGCGAAGCTCGGCCAGCTGTGTGAAGCTTGCGACTCCTATTGTCTCAAAGTCACCCTTCGTCAAGCCTGATTCTCCTTTCGGGCCGTACGTCCTATTGGCGAGTGTTGCGTAAAGCAGGAGACTGGCATTGTCAGCGGAGAAGATGAATTCAGAGAGCAGAAATTACCTCGACTCCCGAAGTGCACGCCAAGAATAAGAAAGGATATCCTTAGGGCCGACGGTTAGATCGTCAATGGGCTCATCGGTGTGGCCTTCCGGAGAATCAATACAGAGTATGGGTTTCACTTCAATCCAAATCTTGTCACAAACAGCCACTATCCTTGAGTGTACGGCTCGCCAGGCCTTGTACCCTGTCTGTGCGTTCGAGATCAAGACATGGAAATCAGGAGTTAACACAATATATCTAAAGCAAAGGTCAGCTTCAACGCATTGAATATACACATTATGCAGAAGTACCTAAGAGCAGAGACGTAACCGTGTAAGGGTGCATCACGCATAGAAGAGTTGAAGAGACCACCTGCAAGGGATAGTTTTTCTTCCAGTTTCTTCAGGAGATTATCGACAACTCCTTGTTTTGTTTCCCACCAGCTATCCGCCACTTTCGAGTTATCATCGTCTGCTGCTGTAAAGAATATGTGATACAGGCGAGCGACAGTATCGGCATGGTCAGCTCTACTAGTATTACTTGCTAGTTGTTCTGCTCTATTCAAGGCCTCCACGAGCTGCGGCTTCTCATGCTTCCTGCTGCACCCAGATTGCACGTAACCACTTAGTAAGACCTCTCGAGGAAACATATTAAGCAAAGTGAGGGATGTAGCCCGCACTTCCTCATATGGATCCAGTAAAAGGTCTACCAACAATCTGAGCAGGCTCGGCTCAAATACATCCATGTTAAGTCGCCACTTTGTGACGTTTCCCGCTTGTTTGGCGGCAATGTGACCAGCGTACCGGGCATCGAGGCCAGATTCAAGTAGATGGATCAATGTTTTCAATGCCATGATGTGGCGCGGGTAAGAGGCTGTAGATCGCAGGTCATCTTTCAATAACTCCAGGTATTCTTTCAGGCACTCTTGCGTCTCAGAATCGTCACGGGCAAACTTCGGCTGATGCCTTTTGCTATTTGGAACATTTGTCTCAGCCAGGTTTTCATGTTCACTCAGAATACCACCTTTGAGACGAGGAATCAGTTTGCGTATCAAGCTCAGTATCTCTCCTCTGGCATATGGGTCTGCAGATTCAGAGTGCATAGATGGCAAGCCTTTCAATATCGCTCTTATTGTGGCCGAAGAAACCGGCTTTGTTGTCGCGGGAGCCGTTATCAGGAGTGAAAGTGCTGCTATCCTGATGCTATGTTCTCTATGGAATAGAAACTGGCCAATCATTTCGCTCTTGAGAACGAGCGCATTCTGGGCGTCCTTGGCTGAAGACCCTGCTTTGGGAATGTAGTCTAGTAGCAATGGAGGTAAGTAACATGAACACGAACAGGTTTAAAAAGCATCTCCACTTACTGTCCTCGTGGACCAGGCCAACTTTTTTGCCATTTGCAGCGATGCAAAGAGAAGGGTCAGCTCTGGTAATGGCGCCTCACTCATATCCCCTGCGAGCAAGTTCTTCAGGTGTAGCTTTTCTAAAAATGCTCTGAATCCAGTAGGGTCAAGTTTAAACAAGGGTTGAAGGGTGTAATTAGACATAAGCTCTAGATTATCCAGGTTCTGCAGCGCAAGGTGCCTAACTGGAGTCACCCAAATTGATGACAAGTTCTGAGGAATCTCTTGAGAGGATGGGCCGGACGTATCGAGGGTTTTCACTTTCTGGAAGAAAACAGCCATTAAATCCCCTGATGAAGCAGCAAGTTCTGCTGTTTTGGCTTGGGTTAATAATCTCAAAAGAAGGATCTCGGCCACAATTTGTTTCGACTCGGAGCTTGGAGCACTTGCGAGGAAGCGATTGATATCTATGGACAGAGATTTGCAACCCTCCTGAAGGAGTGAGATCCATCTTTCACGATTCTCCAGAAGCCAGCTCTCTACCAGTGAGATAAACTCAATGGGAGCTATTGCGCCCTTCCGTAGTAGAGCCTCCAAAGAGACGAAAGACGCCTTAAGTCGCGAGCGAGGCTCGCCAAGGATAATGCTAGGGATGGTTGTCTCAGTAATCTTGGATCTGATTAAATCTTTGTCGGTTTCCTGGGGGTTTTTGTTAAAGAGGCCGACCAGGCACTCCAGGACTAGTCTCATCCCCTTTGGATTTGCATCTTTATAGCGAGCCATGTAGACCTCAAACACAGCAGACCAAGTCTCATTGGAGAAAGCCAATTTTCTTGTTCCTTCACATTTTGAAGTAAGTGCAGTGTCAAGAAATGCGCTTAGCGTATTGCATGAAGCCACAGTATGGGTGTTAGATGTTGAAGCCGTCGAAAACGTCTTCAATAAGCTCTGCCATACTCGGTTCACTTTGCTTTTTTAAATAAGTTAGAATACAGTAGGCACAAATGAACAGTACAGTCTTACTCGATGTCTTCACATGACAGAACAAAGTTTACCAACAACCCTTTGCTAATTTCCTTAAGGGTTGCTTCCGGGAGGAGTTGTATATCTTGCGATATCGCCTCCATTTTTTGATATCCGGCGTCGCCCGAAGCGCTCGACCCTGCGTGAAGATCCATTGCGTTATCGGGTCCGTAAACCCCGAGCAATGGAAAATCCGGCGGCAAGGAATTTATTTTAAATTTCTCTAAAAAAAAAAATTGATATCCAGATGCCCGCCCCCCGCGCTGGGGAATCACTTTTCGTGGATTTTCGAGGCGGGTCCACCCAAAGCGGTTAGCGTCGGCCAAAGCTTTTCCCGACACCGGAGAACTGCCCGTGATTACTCGTGACTCGGCCCGTCACGGGGTTGAAGTTTTTGTTCTGGTTCCTTCGAATTTCCATACTCGCGACGAAGACCTGCAGCGCCAGAGTGGCATACCAACCGTTGTTCATTTCCTCCCGTGTTTTATTACCTTCTTAATTGTATTCATTTTAATAAAAGTACTTCTTTCCAAAATGTCTTTCTGGGACTCACTCAGCGGCCGCAAACAGTCCAAAGGACCCGAATTCGACCCTTCCACCGCGCAAGATGCTACGTCGTTCCTTTCGGAGGTCGCCATCCCTGATCCTACCTCACTCCACCCCTTGGCTGGCCTGAACCAGGATACCCTCGATTATATCACTCTCGAAGACTCCGCCCTTGATGAAACACCTGGCTCGCGATCACTTTTGCCATCTCGTGGATGGTCCGATGATCTGTGTTATGGAGCCGGAACAACGTACCTTGCTGGTTTGACTGCTGGAGGAGCATGGGGTCTTGCTGAAGGCATGAGAAAGGTGCCTGCGACAGCACCTCCCAAAATTCGCCTCAACGGTGTCCTGAACGCTATCACAAGGAGAGGTCCTTTCCTCGGAAACTCCGCCGGTGTGGTGGCTATGGTATATAACGGCTTTAACTCGGGAATTGGATATGCGCGAGGAAAGCATGACTCTGCCAACAGTATTGTTGCGGGTGCC